TAAGTCTTGAAAATTCCCATTATACCCTTCTACAAGTATAAATAGGGTTCCTCTTTTTTATTCTTTTCATTTCATTGTATATATTGTATGCAGTATGTTAAGAAGAATGTAGTGTTGGGTGTATTGGGTATTAAGTACGGGTGAGGTTCTGATATGGTCATTTTCGTATTGTATTTTCTCTTGTTTATAGTGAAGAAGTAAAACTCCGACCTATTGTCCATGGACGTAGGCAATTTGGCCGAACTGCGTTAAATCTGGTGTTCTCTCTTTTTCTTCTTTCTTTTTTTCTTTCTTGTTATCTACATTTGTTTCTTTCTATGCACATACAAATTATATTATCCAATGTGCCATTCCATCAATTGGTATCAGAGCTTCATGGTTCTACTCCGATGTTCTACCAAATTTGTATTTACTATTTTGGTATTGCATGTGTTGAATATGGCAAGCTCGAGCTCTATTTGGTTCAATATACTAAAATTCAATGGATCCAACTATGCAATTTGGAAGTTGAAGATGTATGTTGTGTTGGTCCAAGAAGCTTATGAAATTGCCTTATAAGGAAAAGAGAAGAAGCTTGCTGATATGAAGGACAAAGGTTTTGAGAAGAAAAACCATATAGCCATGATTGATATCCGAGAAAACCACTACCAAAGGCTTATGGGACAAATTGTGGAATTTCTATGAAGGGAAACCGATGTCCAACAAAATCTTTCTCCGGCGATAATTCAGCAACCTAAGGATGAATGACAAAGCTTCTCTACAAGAAAATTTGAATGAGTTCAACACTTTAGTAAGCAAATTCGTAGCTACTGAGGTAGATATTGATAATGAAGAAAAGGGTGCTCTTTTGCTTTGCTCTATGCTAGAATCTTGGGAAAGTTTGATAATGAATTTGAGAAATACTAAAGATTTGTCATTAGAATCTACTATTTCTATGCTGCTTACGAAAGAAATTTGTAGAGAAGTTGGAGAGAGTTCTTTAGGTGATGCAATGATGGTATGAGATAGAACGAATGAGAAACAACTCTAATAGAAATCAAACGAGATCTGATTCAAGAGGCAAATGGAAAGGACTCAAGTGTTGGAACTGTGGTAAGAAGGGTTACCTTCAGAAAGATTATAGGCAATCCAAAGCAGAACAAAATCAACCCAACTTTGACAAAGATCTAGCTTCAAATAATCCTCAAGGAAATATCGCAAAAGGAAATGATTCATCAAAAGAGGGTGAGGTATTGTCTGTTGGTTCATGTGAAAACTTAAAGCACAATTGGATATTAGATTCTAGTGCTTGTTTCCATATGGCACCATGTAGATATTGGTTTTACACATACCAATCATGGGATGGTGGGATTGTTTATATGGACGACAACAACACATGTAAAATAGTGAGAGTTGGAGATGTCAGGATTATTATGTTTGACTACATCACTCGTACAATCTATGATGAAAACGATTACAAGTTTTTTGGAGAAAATGGCCAATTGAAGATTCGTAAAGGAGCTATGGTGCTTGCAAAGGGAAAATTATAAAGAAAGCTATACCACTTGATCGGAGATACCATGGTCGGTGACACCATCGTTGCAAATGTTGTGACCAATTTCAACATGATTTGGCACAGACATTTGGGTCATATGAGCAAGCAAGGACTCAGGCAACTCTTGATCAAAATCTACTTCATGGTTTAAAATCTATTAATTTGAATTTCTATAAAGATTTTTTATTTGGGAAACACCATAGAGGTAGTTTTCCTAAGCCTAAAGCTAGAAGTAGAGAGGTATTAAATTTAATACACTCTAATACGTGGGAAGCTACTATGAAATCTCTCGGAGGTTTTTTATTCTTTATCTCCTTTATTGATGATTTCTCCAAGAAAGTATGGGTGTACATACTCTGAAGGAAGAGTGATACATTTTTCTATTTTAAAAAGTTTAAAGCTCTAGTTGAAAATCAGAAGGGAAAAAGAACTAAGTGTTTGAGAATCGATAATGGAAAGGAGTATACCTTAAACGAATTTGAAATTTTTTGCACTGAGCACATCATTTCGAGATAGTATATAGTTCCTCAAACTCCATAACAAAACAGAGTTGGTGAATGAATGAACCGTACACTTATGATCAAGCTAGAAGCATGTTAAGTGCAATTGGTCTGAAGCGTGCTTTTGGGCAGAAGCAGTCAATACAATGTGTTACTAGTAAATCGCTCTTCCACTAAGACACTTGATTGCAAAGTTCCATAAGAGGTATGGTTAGGAAACCCTGTTGATTATTCTTTCCTATGCACCTTTGGTTGTGATGCTTATGTTTAGATTCCTAAGGAGCAAAGGACCAAGCTAGATGTAAGGTGCAAAAAGTATATTTTTCTTGGCTATGCAGAAAGTACAAACGGGTACAAATTGTAGAATCATACTACTCACAAGATAGTTATTAACCAAAATGTTTTCTTCAATGAAGATTCGATGTAGAAAAAAAATATATAATCAAGTTCTGAGATAACAGAGAATGTTGAAGTGAAATCTTTTCAAAGGATTTAAGAGTAACAAATTAAGGCAACTGTTGATGAAACTGATGAAGAGCATGCTAAAAATTTTGAATGAGAGACTCATGATGATCAAGGTTGATTGAGGAGAGCCACAAGACCTTCTATCTGGCTTTAGGATTATGTAACTGCTTATGCTTAGATTATAAAAGAACATAAGCCTTGTTCATAACAGGAAGCATGCAAATGTCTAAATGCTTGTCATTGGCAAGTGGCTATGGAGGAAGAAATGGAAGCTCTGAAGAAAATCAAAACTAGGAGTTAGTTAAACTACCTAAGGGTCAAAAGGCCATTGGTTATAGATGGGTATACAAACTTAGAAAGGACACTGCTTCAATATGCAAGAATCCAAACTAGTTAGTATCCTATTTCCTATTGGTTGCAAGTTATCTTCAGAACAATCCCCTAGTACTAAAGCTGATATGACAGAGATGTCCCATATACCATACTCAGAAAGCCTTATGTTTGCCATGGTGTACACCAGACCATACATTAGACAAGTAGTGGGAGCAATCAATAAATTCTTAGCAAATTCAAGAAGAGATCATTAGACTACGGTAAAAAGAATCCTTCATTATTTGAAGGGTACTTCTGAAATCTCCATTTGTTATAGTGGCCAAAGCTTGAAGCTATTTAGTTATATAGATGCAAAATATGCAAGATATCATATTAATAAAAAATCAACTATTGTCTATGTGTTTCTTTAACTAATGGCACAATGAGCTAGGCATCAAAGTTGCAATCTGTAGTGACCTTATCTACAACAAAATCAGAATATATGTCAGCTACACAAGTATGCAAAGAAAGTATTGGCTAAAGAGATTGTTTGAAGAATTCCACATCAAGCAAGAGGTGGTGACTATTCATTGTGTTAGTCAAAGACTCAAAGCGCATTACACTTAGCATGAAATCTTGTTTTTCATGCTTGAACCAAACACATTGATGTACAGTACCACTTTGTTCGTAAAGTAGTTAAGGATGGGCAGATCTCATTACAAAAGATTCACACCAACGATAACGTTCTTGATATGCTAACAAAGCTTGTGATGAGAGAGAAGCTTATCTGGTGCAAAACTTATCTAGCACTTGAAGCCACCTAACAAAAGATGATCAATGGTTATTCTCAAAAGGGTTTTTCACTATAAAAATAACCTTCAAGTGGGATAATGTTAAAGTACAATAGGTGGACCAATCGGTGGCTCACCGAATTAACAAAACAGTGGCCTATCGATTGAGCCCACCAAATTAGAATCAGTGGCCCATTGTATGAATCCACCTTTTGTTATTATGTAGCGGTGAAGACTATTTTACCACTTAAGTATTAAGTCTTGAAAATTCCCATTATACCCCTCTATACAAGTATAAAAAGAGGTCCCCTCTTCTATTCTTTTCATTCCATTTTCATTTCATTCATTGTATATAGTGTATTGATAAGAATGTAGTGTTGGGTATGGGTGAGGTTCTGGTGAGGTCATTTTGGTATTGTATTTTCTCTTGTTTATAGTGAAGAAATAAAACTCCGAGTTGCTGCTCATGGATATAGGCAATTTGGCTAAACCACGTTAAATTTAGCATTCTCTCTCTCTTCTTTCTTTCTTTCACTTTCTTGCTATTTGCATTTGTTTCTTTCTGTGCACATACAAATTATATTATCCATTGTGCCATTCCCACAACAACTTTAAATTGACAGCCATTAAAAGCACCACTTTAGCTAAGATGCATTTAACATCTTACTATGCTGATATATAAACAATGCAACACCAAGCATTAAAATACTAAATAGAGCAACACCAAGCATAACAAACACAAAAAGAAAGAAAGAAACAAGCTAGGGGAAGAAAGAGAAAAAAACTTAGCATCTGTTTGGCATTGATGCTGTGGAGCACTGTTTGCTGATATGTGAGACGTTGGAAACACAATTTTCTGAGAAAACGATGTTTTTTTTTTTTTTCTTTTTGGAAAGGTTTCTGCTAGGTAGGACGTTTCTTGGAGCAACAACAATACCTTCTGTTTGGTACTAGTGCTCCATATTTATTTTCAGCATTGGTACCCAATTTAGGAAATCAACGTCACTGCCATATCATGTCCTTGTTAGAAGCAACAAGCTCCAATTTGAGAAAACGTCGAGTTCAGCATACTCCAAACCACGCCTTCTTGATTACTAAGGCATGACTTGGAGCACCGTTTTTTATGGAAAAACGGTTCCAAACATATTAATGTTTCCTAAAGCATTGATTTTTCCAATGTGGTTTTGATGTATCACCATTTTCTGGAGTACGGCATCCATGGCAAACAGACGCTTATAGGTCTGAAATAATAACAGGAGGAATTGAAGATCAACATAACAGAAACTTGATGTAATAGCACGCCTAGCAAGATCATGGCTGACGCTATTTGATTGACGTGGAGCCCAGAAGAACTTAGAATTAATCTTTACCTGCAACAAGATTCAGAATATCTTTGCAAATAAACCAAATGTCTTTATAGCAAGTTTAAAGAGACATCACATTTTCATCAAGTTTAACTCTTGATGTTTATTAACTCTTGCGATCAGAATATCTTTGAAATACTGTTTATTAACTCTTCCGATCCGATTCAAACAGCACATTTTCATCAGGTTTAAAGAGGCAGCAAAAAGTACAGCTTCTTTCAAGGTCTTTGCTTCAGCCACTACTAAAGCAGATGAGGCTCCACAGGGCCCTCTCTTGATACCCCGACAGCATTCTTCAGCTTCGTCTCTCACCACAGCTCCAAAGGAACTATCATTCAAGAAACAACCATCTAGATTTACCTTCAAAAAGCCAGCTCCGTGGGCTGACCAGATCACTGGAAGCTCTTCGCAGGCCTCACTACCTGGGAGCTAATTCTGTATTTGTGACATCATTCATAGACTCTGGTATTGATCTACTTGTAGATTGAGTTGTTTCCATTCTTTCGTATCCCAAAAATGCTGGTCGCTGAGGCAATTCAAGAGCGACGGAATGAATATTCAGAGTGCGTGCTATCGTTGCCATAGTAGGTCTCTGATCTACATTATCCTGAACACACAATAACCCAATATGAATGCATCTCATCACTTCTTCTCTTGAGTAGAACTCCCTTAAAATTGGATCCAGCAGTTCCGAAGCTGTTCCTTCATTCCAATTCCTCCAGGCCTATAACAGTTCAATTAATATATTATGTAATTTGTTAGTGACCTCTTCTGGATGTATTGTTGTGAATGGAGAATAAATTGCTGTTACTGAAATTCTGGCTTCTTTCTATGTAAAAGATAACAATCTATGAATTATCATACCAAATAAAAGGGATTTACTTGAAATTAAGGATTTATACTTACAAAGCTTAGAAGATACTCTGCATACTCTGAATGATAGAAAGAGTTCTTCTTGCCAGTTATAATCTCTAAAAGCAAAACACCAAAGCTATAGATATCAGATTTGACGGAGAACAGTCCTTGCCTCACATATTCCGGAGGCATATAACCACTGCAAGCAATTATAGACAGGAAAATACACTCAGTCATGAACTTTAAATCTGATTGAGATCATTATAACACCACCAGAACCTGATATTTGGTCATTCTATATTTCTCTATCTTACTTTACCACTAGCTGTAAATATTGTCATATAACCCATTCAAACATAAAATATTAATGTTCAAAGAATCAGTTCAGGCATCTATAACTATATACTTCAAGCATTGTGAAGATGTATGGAAAGTTGATACATGATTTGCTTTTGGCTTGACAGGTGTTCCTCCATTTTCTTCTTATTCTCTCTCTCTCTCTTACCTTGCATTCGAAAATTACAAGAATATCATATAGAAGAAGAATTCAAATCAGCCCCCCACAAGACAGCACCCCACAATGTCCTACAACACATCCCTACCGTGTAGTAGGAACATCTCCTGCGAATACCTCATCATTTATGGTACTATCATCAGGAAATGTTCCTAGTACACGGTGGGGATGTGCTGTGGGACGTTGTGGGGTGCCGTCTTGTGGGGGACTGATTTGATCTCCATCGAAGACAACCTCTCTCTCTCTCTCTAATTGATTCTATAATATTTAAGGCAAATGCACCTTATTTATCTTGCCATGTAATTGTCTCTATGATATTCAAAAATTACAAGAGCGTCACATATAAGACAAACCTCCTTATTGAATTGATTCTATGGCATTTGAAAATTACAGGAGTGTTACATACAATTATTTATGTTTATGCCATCTTATCTCAATTTTTATTTTTTCATTTACTTATTTTATTATTATTATCTAAACATTTATTTATTTAATAAAATTAAATAAACTATTTATTTTAATCATATGAATCAATAAAATAAAGGAGATGTGACATTGAGTGAAAGATTTTAATAAACATTTATTTATTCATTTTTTTTACTAAATTATTTATTTATTTAGAAATAATTTACTACCAAATTATTATCTCCCCTTGAGTTCATATTTAGGGTTGTCAATGAGTTGGGTCTAGCTTGAGATAGCCTATACTAGTCTCATCCCAATAAACTTTTATTTTTTATTTTATTCAACTTAATAACTTATTATATAAACATGAATTTATTTAAGAAAAACTATGGCTGAACCAATGAGTGAGGTCTATCCTTGTAGAGCTAAATTGATTGAAAATAATTATAAAAGTTTTGATTCCATGATTTTTCTTTGATTAATTATTGGATTGATTCAAGTCTAGAACCAAATATTTTATGAAAAATATATTTTTTTCTTGTAATTTCAATCATGTTTCATGTTTGAAATAGTAAATTTGATAAATAATAAATAAGATAATATTAGTCAAAAATGATTAACTTATTAACATAAAATTAATCAGTATTATTTTAACTATTGTTTTCAATATAATCATGTCTATTATTTGATCTGAAATAAATAATTTGTTCATGACTGGTTCTACTTAGTCCTAACTTATTGACAACCCTAAACCAAATTGGATCCCACTATAGTTATTTATTATTTATAATAATATAGTTTATAGTTATTTTATTTAAAAAGTATAACCTAATTTATTATTGTATCTTCAAATGGGAATTTTCAATTTTTTCCCTACAAAACAGGGACTTCCCCACTAATCAAACTAGAAAAGGGAGAGGTTCCCAGGTCAAAGATGAAACCATGGGAAGTAATAAATAGAAAATATTATATAATATATATAACATGTAATATATAAAATTATATAACTATATACAAATTATATAATTGTATTCTACTATAGTTATAGTTTCAATTTTTTATACAAAAATTTGAGATTTGAAGTTAAAAAGGCATTTTTAGGACAAAAATATAGGTTAGGAATCTTGCAAAACAAGCCATGAACGAAGAAAATTCCAGTCCCTTTACTCAGTTATCTGAAATTCCATGTCAGCTCAGAATCTTGGGCCTGTTTGGTTCATGGGGAATAGGGGTCTAGAATTGGAATCAGAATGGATTATTCTGATTCCAACTCTTTGATTGGGTGGAATTAGAATCCAATTTTCATTCCTAGAATAGCATTTCCCTATTTGAGGCAATGGTCATTCCCTGCCCTTCTTTTGAGAATGAAATTTTATTCTTGTTGATTCTAATTTCTATTCTTATTCCTGTCTGAACCAAACAGACTATAGGAACACACTATACTGATTCCAGTTCTAATTCTAGAACCAATGAAATCCCTTCTTATTTGGGTGGGACCAAGTGGTTGAGGGAGAACTTACTGTTTTTGGGGTTTAGGGCAAAATGGGTTTCGTCCTCCCCGGTATCTTTCTATACTATTTTTTTTTTATTAATGATTAATAAAATTTCTAATGCTGGCACCCCTCCAACTAAGTAAATTTTGGGGTCAAGAAAAATAACTAAACGGTGAAGGCTTACAATGTTCCAACAACTCTATTTGTATTGGCTTGAGATTGATCCATGCCAAAAATTCTTGCCATCCCAAAATCAGATATTTTGGGGTTCATATCACCATCTAACAAGACATTGCTAGCTTTAAGATCACGATGAATAATCTTGAATCGAGAATCTTCATGGAGATAAAGAAGGCCTCGAGCAATGCCTCCTATAATCTTGTAACGTGTTGGCCAATCCAAACATGCACGTTTATCTGAATCTGCACAATTAACCAAAACCAGTTAGAGATTTAGGATATAGGATTTTAATAGACAGACCGCAAGCTTATGCTCTCTTGTGTACGGCTGTAATGGCCGGTTGGGAGACATTGTTGCAACCGTATTTTGGTAGCTGATCTGAACCCACGTAAGGATGAGAAACAGCACTAGATCAGAGTTTAAATGACGCCCCACAGGACGTGCCCAATAGCACATCTCAACTATATAATGGGAATATCTCTTAATGAAAAATATAAAAAATGTTTTGTGTATGTGAGACACCTGTGGGGTGCTGAATAAATCAGCTTGTCAAGAAGCATAAACGATGGTTGTTTGAAAGATTAAAGAGAACAAACCAAATAGAAAGTAGTCGAGGCTTTTGTTGGGGACAAATTCATAAATAAGTATCTTTTCTTCTCCTTCTAAACAAAATCCCAATAACCTAACAAGATTCCTGTGTTGAAGCTTGGCAACCAATACAACTTCATTCTTAAATTCTTCTGCTCCTTGTCCTGAGCTTTTAGAGAGCCTTTTCACAGCAATTTCTTGTCCATTAGAAAGTTTACCCTGACAATGTAATTCATCATAAACAGTTATTAGCCTATTAAACTTATTCTAATTTCGTGATATACCTTAAAGAAATGTTCAACATGCAATCAGACTTTATCGTAAAATTCTTTTTCATTTTTCTGAATTTTAATCACTGAATATGTTTAAATCTCCTTACCTTGTAAACCCAACCAAATCCACCTTGACCAATTTTATTGTCGTGAGAGAAGTTGTTTGTAGCTGCTATGACTGTACTCAGATCAAATTGCAACGACTCCACGTTTATGATATCATTCGCATCTAGACCAATATAAAGAGAAAAGAATAAGATTTTAAAATGGACCAGTGAGGGGCCCCAGCTTTGCAAGGGGCAAATGGCATGATAAAAAATTAATGATATAAGAATCTTTCTAAATTTTAAATTGTATTTTTAAATAAAATAAAAATAAATTGCTGTCATTAAAATAAAAACATTGAAATTTTTAAGAATAAAACCAATATTTAATCCAAACAAATCCAGTAATTTTTTGTTGTCTATCTCATCAATAACTCTCACTTATACCATATGTGTTTCTTAAGTTTTAAAATTTTTGTGTTTTCTTTTTCTCTCTCTCGTTTATCTCCTTCTCTCAAGGTAGTTTTTATTCCTTTTTGTATATTTTTTGGTAAAAGACTATAACCATACCCTATGTTTTCTTAAATTGACTTACAAGTAGCTTAGGTTTTAAAAAAAAAAATTAAATATGCCTTACGACTCTTTTGCCCTTCATTTTCATTTAAATTTTCAAAATATATCCTGGATTTCTCAAACTCTTTTGTCCTTCTAAATCATACAACATGGTCAGATTTGGTACTATAGAAGTTTTGTTTAGATCCAACCAATGACAGAAACGATGCAAAATGGGTTATATGAAAACACACCTGCAATATGTATTTCCGTGGACAAAAAAAAAAATCTGGAAATTAAAACAAATTCATTTTGCAAACCTTAAATTAAGTTTAAATGATTGAAATCCAATTTAGCAAATAAATGGCATCACCTTAGTTAATGCCCTTGTGATTCAAATGCTATGCCAATTACTAAATTATAATAATTCCATTTCACATGAAACCCAAAAATACTCTAAGTGAATCGTTGAATCTCTCTCTCTCCTTTTGTCATCTTATTTTGTTAGGTTAACCAATCCATTGGTTTATCTAACAAAATAGGATTTTTAAAATTTTAAATGACCTTATATGTGTCTTTTCATTGACCCCAATAAGGTATATTTAAGTCATTTTAAAAAACTTAAGATATATTTAAGTCAATTAATAAAAACTTAGGATATGTTTAAACCTTTTACCCTTTTTTTAATATTTGAGAGATAACACACATCACCTAAACATGTAGATTGAAAATGTGTAAAATCATGCTTTTTAGAGATTATTTTCAACCCATTGCTGACGTAGACAATCTAATCATTCAAACTAGGCACTTGAGCCATTGACCCATTTGAAGTCATGGTCTAATTAATTTGATCCTAACAGTTGAACCGATTGCCTATGACTTGAAGGTAAAAATGGTTCAGAGATCAGATTTTACAAAACATTGCTCCCCCCGTCCCAACAATTTCTCCTAATCTATTTCTTCCCTAGCCAAAACAGTCCTCTTCTTTCCCCAATGAGATGCATGAGTTTTGTTAAGCAAGTGTAATGAAAGAATAAAAACCAAAAAATGTTTTTTATATTATATATATATATATATATATAATATAATAACTATAAGAAAGCAAAATAATTCAACGATGCATGGGCTTACTTTTATCAAGCTTTTGAAATAATAGAAGCATGGTTTTTAAAATCGGATTGAACTGGACGGTCGAACTAGAAAAACTGAGGACGGGAACTGATCACCTGATCGATTCCATTTTCCCCCAAAATTGTTGATTTTGATCAACAAATCTTTAAATCGGCTGGTTAACCTGTCAAACTATTTTGATCATTTCTCAATTTTTTTAAATTTTTAAAATTTTTGTCAGAACAGGCAGTTATTCAAGTTGAACGATTGGATCATTCAAACCAATAACCAGAGCTCTGACTGGTTCAGTCACCAGTTCGATTTTAAAAACCATGGACTGAAGTATATATTGAACCCCGAATGAAAAATGAAGATTTCGTAAAGGAATTGAGCTCTTACCACCTATCATTTTCTCTTTCTTCCTAGTCACCCAACACCAGCTGAGTGTTGATAATAGCAACACTCCAATGGCAATTGAAACAGCAGTGGCAAGAATAGTTCCAACTGATATCCGTTTACCTTTTTCTGCATTGGGAAGGTAAAAGAAAAAATTATAAAGGATATCATAGTCGGACCCTAAGAACATAAATTAGTAACTGTTATGGGTACAGTATAAATAAAATATATATATGTGATATAAATATATATTTGAAAGGTGTCCCTCTCCCTCCCCCTCTCAATGGTTGTGAGAATTAAATTCAATTAATTGTTGGATTTAGAGTACTAAAATAGGGAACAAAAAGGGTTCGACCATTTCTTTTGCTACTTGGATTTTTTTTTTTTTGGTTTTAAGGATAAATAGACTGCACTTGAGAAATAAAAGCAAAAACTCCAAAAATAATAACGATTCAAGGAAAAAAAAAAAGAGACCGAATCTACCCCCACAATGTCTCATACCAATATATCTCCAAAATATCGTCTCAATGATGACATCATCTGGATATTATCATCGGAAAATGTTTTCAAAATATACAAAGGGGATGTGCTGTGGGACGTTGTGGGGAATAGTCTTGTGGGGGCTTTGAACTCAAAAAAATTATGAAAGTAAAAAGAAACAAGGAAAAAAATCTTAACCCATCACCTGATTCACCTCCCATCGTATTACCGGTGTCTTTAGTTGGGGGAGCTGCTACATGATCAACAAGGAATGGATAAATCTCAAATCTCACGGTACAACTCACAGAATTTATATAGACTCCTTGTTGGCCATTACAACACTGATGAATCCTGTTAATAAGATGCTGGAGGCAAGAAGAGCAGCCAAGCTCCGTCAAATCCCGAGTACAATCCACAAAACCATATATAGTATTTTGAAGAGGCAGGTTGGTCTCGATCTTCCCGGCAGAGAACTTGGATGCCCTAGATGGCGCTGTAGATGAAAGATTGGCCAACAGTTCATCTAATTTTCTATTAAAAACATCCGTATTTGATGCCCTTTGCGTATGGTAACTAGCGTCCCAAATATTAGGTTCTTCCTGGGAAAAGAAATTGAGATTAGAATAGCGTAAGATGCATTTGTCGAAACGGATGTACGCGCCCTTCCTTTTGGGGCATCTCTGGACGATTTGTTTGCTGGAGGTGTTCAACCAACTCTGGCACTCATCCATGGCGATATCTCCTCTGCACTGAGCAAGTCCATAGACGGTGTCAGCAGGGTTGCCTCCATAGCTGGTGTTGAAGAAACCATTGCGGGAGCCATTGGAGACGAGGGAAGGGAGAAGTATATTCACCAGATTCTTCTCGAATTGGCTGCCGGATGTATAATTACCCGAGTCGAAGCAGTGGAGAAGGAAAGGTTCTTGAGCTCGAGTGTGCATCTGAAAGACAAGTAGACAAATATGGTAAAGTAGTAGCTTCATAGCACACGACCGAAACAAAAGCATATTTTTTATGAGCCCAGGGACGAATCTGTTTGCCGAGTTTCTCTCGTGAACAGCCTTTGTAAATTGTTACAGAAGCTGTACAAGAGTTGCAGCAAGCAATCAGCAGGAAAAGAATGAATAACCTCGCATTGATGCTGTTACCATAGATGGAGTTTATCTTTGGCTCTTAAAATAATGTAGGTCAAGTGAAAAGAACCCCTAATTTTTCTGTCCCATCCAATTAAAATGGAACACGCCACCCTCTCCCTCTTACCTTCCAAACTGACGGAATTCAGACGTAACGGCGGTCGGTACTCCAACGTTTATGAAATCTAATTAACGCTCAGCTTCTTTCTCTCTTTTTCATTTCCTCTCTCTTTTCTTCTCCTTCAACTCCCTCTCCACCGTCCCTGTACAATACTAAATCGCCCCTTCACTTATGTGGAGTCACATCCACATGTCTCCTTATTATGAGATTGGGCCAAATCACCCTTCATTATCCTCTTAGTTCTCAAATAATGAGAACAATCGACAATAGAACAAATGGCAAACTGAAAGATCTGCGAGTTCGCCTGTAAAGAAGTGGGAGGGTAAAATGGCAGATTGGGACAGAGAGAAAGTGAGAGAGAAAAAGAAACACGTGGATAAAAGAGAGAGGGGTTGGGCAGGTTAATAAAACCAGAATGATTTTTGGAGTCCAGACGGCCGTTAAATCTGAAACTCCGTTTAAATTTAAGTTTTAGGTATAAACGGTAGAGCGGCGATTTCTATTGGACGGGACAGAAAATTTTCTGTCCCCAGGTGACAGACGATGTGAGCTTGCATTCGCTTGACTGTGAACTGATGAACTTTCGACCAGAATTAACCACGTCACACATTTGTACGGCACTGGGAAAAACTAAACGCGTTATGACTTGTGACTTCAAAATTCAATGTTTGAAACTTTCACAACAAAGAAACTTTCCTTCCATCAACAACAAAATAAACCGGGAAACTCAAATCGAGGGCCTGCGATTTGTCAAAATTTAGATGGAGGGATGCCATGAATAACCAATTTGTAAGGCACTGGGAAAAAGGTAAACGCGTATTGACTTGACTTGTGACTTTAAAATTCAATGTTTGATAGTTTGACAATAATACAAAAAAGGTAGAAAGAAAAAAAGAAATTTTCCTTTTCATCAACAACAAAATAAATCGGGAAACTCAAATCAAGGGCCTGCGATTTGCCAAAATTTACATGGAGGGATGCCATGAATAACCAATTTGTACGGCACTGGAGAAAACTAAACAAGTTATTATGTCTTTACAATTCAATGTTTGATACTTTGAAAATAATACAAAAAAGTAGAAAGAAAGAAATTTACCTTTCATCAACAACAAAATAAACCGGGAAACTCAAATCAAGGGCCTGCTATTGCCAAACTTTAGATGGATGGATTCCATCAATAACCAATTTGTTAGAACTTGTTTTGCAAATAGATCGTTCTTCAGTCAAGGGGCCAAAATCATTTTGTAAGAAACGGGGTTATATACAGCCGGGCAATAATTACTTGAAGTTGTACACTGAAATTTTATAGGGTAAATTTCTTAAGTTACCCCTATAATTTATTTAACTGATTAATACTATTCTTATTGTTTATATATTGTCTTAAATTATTTTTAAGACTATCCTTATATAAACAATATTGTTTATATATTATTTATTACTCTTATTGTCTAAAACTTCCCTACGTTAATTTTCCGTCACATATAGCGTCATGCAACTGATATTTTTTGAAAGATCCTAAAATACCCTTTTATACCTCTATTCAGAATTTGAATGATTGTCGTTCATGTATATTAGTCAGTCGAATGACTTCTTGGATCGTATTTGGTTCGATTTAAGCAAGGTGCTGAAATAGGTTCCACCGAGAGTTGGAAGAAGAAGAGTGATGAGTTAACTTGTCTTCTCGTATAAAAAGAGGCAGAAAAACGAGGTCTGAATCTTTTAAGTGAAAGTTCCACCGAGAGTTCTGATTCAGAGAATAAGACTTTCAAATAAGAATCATTCCTCCATCAGCTATTCCCCTAATGCCTTCAATATGATGGCATATACTTTCTTTGGTGACCCCTTTTTAGGTGTTGACGGACATGGAGTTCAAGCTACCATTGGAGAGGCACAAGGAGCACAACATGGTGGTCCACGGATGGACAGATTTTATCTACGACAAAGGAAGTTGGACGAGCCTGAACACGGGCGTATTCCTCATTGAACAAGCTCTTCCCGGAAAGCATCCACTTTGATGGATTTGATAGACTCTCTTCCTCCGGCTGAAAATCAGAACAACTCCCTATTTTGCTTTTAGATCTGTCTCCGATTTCCCCTCCCATTCCCAGAATCCTTCAGAAACAACTTCCCTACCAGTGCCTAGTGCTCCATCACCTTCACAGCATGTCACCTTCTCAACCCTCGTATCTATTTCTCCATTCCTACGTAGTTGTCGGTTATGTTGTTCAGATTCCCAACGATCTCCAACCATCATCCTTCGAAGTAGTACTTCTCCTCCAAGCAAATCTTGCCCGCCCTTTTCTCCTTCTCCTCCAGCAGCAAGTACTCAAGGGAGAGATCAGAGTTGAACGCCATGGTATTAGTGTGTTCAATTGAACGAGAGGGAGGAGGGGGGAGGCAGCAGAGGAGAGAAAGACGAACTAGGGCTTTTGCAAAATTCATTCAAATATCTAACACACGACATCTGTGTAGTTGGGGCGGTTCTGGAGAAAAGAACAAGAGGGACGCCATTGTTAGGTGGGAATAAGCTACCGTGAAGTTCGGCCAACGTCAGTTGCTGCTGTAGTGACAGTGATGTCGAAGAGAACAGAGGAGAGGTCTTCTCTGTTTTAAAACTCAAACGAATCGACAGTGATTTGGATTTAGCACCTAAAGCGGACGTGGGGGAAGCCAAAGCTAAACCATAAGGTTTACAGGGTTCTGAGAGAGTGCTCAGATTTTACAGTCGTCTTTAGACCATTCTTCTGATTAACTCAAAATTTGATGCACAAGAGAGAGCGCTCTGAATTCGTCTGTAGACCGTCTTTGTTTTTCCAACTAATGTTATAATTTTGAAGAAAATTTGAAAGAAAATAAAGGGTAAAATAGTCTTTTTAGTCCTTAGTCAATTTTTTAAGAAATTTACCCTTCTTTTTATTGCTTGCTATCCTTTAACAAATGAATATGTTTGTTATATAACGTTTCTAGTTTGTGTTTTCATTCCAATTAACGGAAACTTATATGCACATCTTAAACGAGGCTCACTCAAGGGGTGTTCTACAACATGAATGTTTTTGTTTTCATTTATTTATAAAATCATAACATCAGCAATAAAAAAGAATAAAACAAAAATATATTCCTGAATAGTACTGATTTTGTTTTTCAAAATGAAAAAAAATGTTAGTTTTGTTTCAAAAAAACAATATATGTTTTAGAAACCGAAAAAATATTGGTTTTTAAGACGAAAACAAATTTTTTAATAGTTCAATTGAAATGTTCAAATCCCTTATGCTTAAAAATATCCAACTCACAGTTGAATGAGTAAAATCTGATACAAATTTGAAAATTTCATTTTCCCCCACCTAACAAATTATAACTTAATTTTACTATACAGTTAAGGAAGAAGAATTGAGTGCGTCTTGCTGTCTTGCTGCAAAATCCGAACTGCGTCAAAATATTGATGTAAATAAGAATTCCAACTCTGTGATGGTGAGGGTCACAAAGTATTTGTTGTGCCAAATAAATGAGTTTACATATGCTGCGCTGCTGCAATGTAGCTGGGGAGATTCGAAGTATTTGTTGCTGAATAACTAGTTCGCTACGAAATTCTGAAGTACTTCTACAACATTGCAAGATAATTTAAAGAGTTAGGTCGACGTTTGTTTACATTTTTCAAACATCTAACGTTTGAAAAACTTACTTTCTAAGCATTGGAGGCATATATTTGATGTCTAATTACAATTAGATGCATTTGAAAGATGATTAAAAGATGTCATTCTCCCACTAATAGAGTTTCATAATAATATTTTTATTATTTAATAGTATTTTTATTTAAATATTATCTTTAATATTATCGAATAATGTATTTCAAGGGTAAAATTGTAAATTTCATAGATGTTGGAGAATTACTCCAACTTAAATAATCTTATCTTTTCAAAGCCTATAAAAGGTAAAACTGTGAAATTTACTATTTTACCCTTGAAATACATTATTTGATAATATTAAAAATAATATTTAAATAAAAATATTTTTAAATAATAAAAATATAATTTAAATAAATAATACAATTATATTATTATTATTATTCATACTTGGTCTTTCACATATATATACATGCTTTTAAAAAGACAATAGAATCAATAATTTTAAATTTTGTTGAATTTGTATAGGGGTAATTTTGTCTTCTTGGTTTTTCACATACTTGCAAGTTTCAAACATGCAACTTATCCAAAATGATTTGAAATAGTTTTCTAATTTTAATTTAAATTTTAAATGACCTTTGATCACTAATTTACTCTAAATGACTTTTCTCTTTAAAGTGTCTTTTCACTTAATGTTTCTTTAAACATGTCTTTAATTTAAATTAGTAACCCTTAATTGCTTCATTTAAAAATGTCCTTCAAACATGTCTTTTATTTTAAAATAGTGATTTTCCATTTCAAAATTTGCAACCTTTTATTTATAACTTTTTTTTACGGAGTGTCGTTTGATTTGAAACTTGGTATATAACCTTTTATAGGTGTCTTTTTCTCACGAAATACCATTGAGTCTATATATATACCTAGACATTTGAAATTCAACACATATAGACACAATTATTCTTCTCACATACTTTTTCTACAATTGTTTTGGGCATTTGCTCATTCTCATGTATTACATCAATCGGTCTAAAATATTGTTGTAGTTCATGTAACCCAGTATTTCCAAGTGCACGGTTATCGGGAGTAACCAAGGTTGTTGAATCCTAAAGCAAAATGCCTACATACCTGTATGCACTGAAATTTTGCTTAAGGACAATGTCCTAGACACTAGTAAGCTTATAAGCCCATTTTTTCTTATTTTTTTGTTACTTTTTTAAACTTTCATGTTCTTAGTTGTTTCTTTTCTATATTTT